CTGCTATTAATTTGTAACTGTGCTTTGAATTTGGATGCCTCTTCTGGAGGTTGTCATGGGTGTTTTAAACATATGTCTTCAAATATGAATGGGAACATAAAATAGAGAATGTTTGAAGTTAAGCAGTTTTGTTTGGTTTTGCAGTTATTGTCAAAAGGAGAACTAGTTTTAAAAGATGTATGACAAATCCAGTTATTTAGAAAGCTAGAATGAATGTGCTGTCCAACTAAGCCACACCCAATGACAGAGTTTGTTCACAGATGTAATAGGGGGTGTTGAACATCTACCAGTCAGCCTCTTGGCTGTCCAGTCCTCGGGCGTGAGCATCACACTAAAATCACGATTGATCTTCCCTTGTTATGATTATGGTAGCTGAGGAGTAGCACCCACTCCTTTCTACCGTGTCTGCAAGGGGAAGCAACAGCCTCTGGCGAGGGTCACTGCTAGAAGATGATAACTTAAGGTGTGCCAGCAGGAGCTGGTAGAGGTTGCACGCTGGAGTTGTGAGATTTTGCTGGTTTGGGGAGGAGCTGTATGTGTGTTTCCACTGTTCCTGATAGCTGACAACTGATTTTTCCATGGTCCAGGTCTTTTCAGAGTGTCCTGGCAGTGCAGCTCAGTTGAGAGTTCTTCTTGTGTTTTATGCCTCCACCATTGTGTCAGCCCTTGGAGCTGCAGAGAAGATAACAGACACTATAGTCTCTCTGCTGCTCCCTTACATCCAAAAGGTACGTGAAGCTTTGTTTTTCTTCCTGTGTGATGATGTGTGCTGTCTTCTGTGGACAAGCATCTGCAGATAGCATCTAAGAGGGACATTCTGTGTCAAATGTACCATTTTCAGGCTGCTTTGAAACATCAGACAGGTGAAGGTTCATGAATTACAATGTTTCTTCACACCTCTGATGAGCTATTTCCTATCCTGTGTGAGGAGTGGAGCTGTGAGAAATGGATACACAGTTTGAATGAACCTCCTTGTCTTAGAGAATTATCATGCTGAACAATGAGGAAATTGAGTCAGGGTGGGCAGCCTGTTTTAATATCCTCTTTCCTCCAGGACTGTTGCTCTGTTAATGACCAGAGCAACACTTAATGAATTTGTCTGCCTTCTGTGTGAAAGATGAGTTTATAGACTCCTTAGAAGTTAACACATGGACAAGAAGGCAACATGATTCTGGGGATGCCAAAATAAAGATGATTCTTGTGAATTAACTCTTTTAATTTGTCTGTGTTTAAAATCTACCTATATCTCTTTTCCTAGGGCTTGAAATCCTCTATACAGGATTACAGAGCTGCAACATACATGATAATCTGCCAGATGACAGTAAAAGTGACAGTGGAGACTTCCTTGGTGCATTCCTTGATGTTACAGATAAGCAAGACATTATCTAAAGTGCCCTCATTAGTAAAGGATGGGGTGGCATGCTTGAACCTACTGCTACAAACTCAGAAAGGAGACAAACTTGGGAAGAAGTAAGTCTACGTGAATTGAATTTTCCCACTTTTTAAAAGGTCAGACTGCATTTGATAATTTGAATTTTTTATCCACCTTGTTAGAGGGATATATTTCAAAAGGCTTGAAAGTTTTTTTGGCTTACTTTTTTTTTTTTTTTTTTTTTTTTTTAATGCTTGCTACATCTAAGATGTCTCAGTGGTACAACACTGTTGTTTTTTGGTCCCTCTCCTGCCTCTTCCCTTAGTGAAAGGTTGCTGTCAATGTGCAAAACTGAACCCCACCAGTAAGAGAGATTCTTGAAAGTGGGAATCCTGAAAGAGAAGGCAGCATAATAATGGCAGTGCAAATCTGAGGTTATGTGAACAGCTTGGAAAAAAGTAGTTCTGTCCCTTCAGTGGACAGGCTTTGAGTTCATATGGTTTGACACCTGAAGTGTAAGTGCTTCTATACAAGCAATTCTTTGGTCCCACAAGTAAGGTGTTCTTCTGAAAGTAAGTGTAGTATTTCATTGCTGTTGGTCTGTCTGTCCTGCCCTGATGCAGTTAGGCAGTGCTCTTAACGTGCAGCTGAACACAGTGTAGGAAGTCCCACATGCCAAAGGGTTTTGCTTGCTGGCAAAGAGGTTACCGTGGGTATTCCAGTAGAATAAATCTTTGTGGAGATAAGTGCAGTGATTACCTTCCACACGATTGGACACAGCCATGGAAGAGGAGACGAAGTTAAAAGCTAAGGTGTGGGGAAGTAAGGAGAGACGTGCTTGATGTGTTATGCAGCGTCCAGCCAGGTCAGTATAAAAGGAGAGAAGATAAGAGAAGCTTTTTGTTAACAGGAAAGGAATCTGCTTCTACTCTCTTTGAGGATCTCATGGCTGAGGTATTTTTTCTTCTCCCTTCCTTTTGCTGCCATTGGGTAACAGATATGCTCCTTGCAATGTGAGGATATCTCTTCGTGCAAGCCATACAAGTAGTTTTTATTGTACTACCAACTTTTCAAAAACTTAGGTGTGTTCACTGTGCCATTTTAGCATCTGTGCTCGACGTGACTGGCAGTAGCCTCTTTTCTTCTTGGATATTAAATGTGTCAATAAACCTCTGACAATAATGGAGTGGAACCTGGAACACTTGGATTTTTTTTCTTTACACTGAGGCTGTTACCTGATGCTGAAAACTTGAGTCCTTAAGAATTCTGCATGCTTTGAAAGTGTTGTTAACCCAGATGAGCATGCGTGTTTTTATTTATTATTTCCCTATTCCGTTGTGCAGGCCGTTTAATCATCTGTGCAAAACACCAGGACTGGTCACAGTTTTGCAAGGCCTTTCAGCAAGCTATGATATCTCTCCTCTTCTGCGTTACCTGTTGCCTCACCTTGTTTGCACTGTCATGAGAAGTGATGCAGGTAAGTTATCAGACCTTTTTACAGTTTAGTTGAGTCTCAAGGACAGATGTCTGTGGTCGCTGTCAAAGCTGTGTAATCTTAGTTGCTTTTACCCTTAGAACTGCACCAATAAATGTGAAGACCTAATTTAGCTTCTGTGTGCATGTGTCTTTTTCTTTTTCCAGGCCCTACAGAGCAGGGTATTTTAGACATTGTTATATTGCTATATACATGTTGGTTTGCAGTATCTCATCAGTAACACTAATTTGGGTGTATAAAATTTATGACTCTTAGAGATGTATTGCAGTAAAGAACAAAATTATTTTAAGGTAGATGCCATGAACTCCGTCTGTAATTAAAGTAGTGGAGATCTCTGTTTAGCTGATGAATGAAATGTGCCTGGGAAAAGTCTGGGACAGTGAGGCTAACTAGCAGGCATTAGTAGCCTGTGTGTGCTAGAGAGTCTGTTTGCACTATGGACTTGTAACTGCCAAGTCATGATTGGGAAAGCTCTTTTGTTGAAAAGGTTCAGATTCACACCAGTGAATGCTGTGTAGAGTTGCTGGCACAGGTTGTGGTAGCGGGTCTGGAACATTCCAGAGCGTACTTCAGTTTACTGACAGCAATGCAGCCTTTGGCGTTTTAATGACCAGTATGAAGCATTGCTAGCAGCTCATGGGGAGTTAGTGCTAGTAATCAATGAACATTGTGATCTTCCAAGTTGTGTGCTTGGTTCACCAGGCGGTGATGCCTGTACAAGCTGTTAGCTTTCATCAGTATGAGGAGGTTATTATCAAACTATTGTTCATCTTTTATGGTTATGCATTGTCCTTAGAGGAACAAGAAGAATCTGAGGAGACGGAGAATCAGATTTACATCAAACATCTTGAAGCTATTCTTCAGAGTATACCACTGGAAAAAGATTTAGATCACCTGTTGGCTTCGTGAGTTAACTTTGATTACTTTTTTTCTTCAGTACTATAGTCATTTCCTGTATAATAACAACTAATTTTTGACAATGGTATTAGCATTATTTGAGCGTGGTTTTTTGAGTTCATAAATTAACTTCAAACCTGGATTTTTAAACTGAAACGTTCAGTAACCCAGAAAAACCATGCTTTCAGCACTGGTGGAGTATTTGTGGTATGGAGTGAAACTTCAGACCAGGAGTACTTGCAATAAGTAATGCATATTGATCCTAGCCTGTTTAGCAGTATGCTTTATAACATTAACGAAAGCTGTGTGCTATCCAAAAAATGGTGACTTTCTCTTTTGTTTGTAATTTTAGCAAGTTTCTTGAAGAGTTTATCTCCTGTGGTACAGAGATCGAATCTAATTCCACCAAAATGGCTGCACTTAATCAGAAAATACTTCCTCTTATCAGACTTCTGGAGAGAAAGTAAGTTCCGTTTTTCTGTGACAGACCCACAGTCTGCAGAATGGTGATGTCACATATGATCTTGGCTTGTTGGGTGTAGTAAGCACAATATTCTTGCCCAAATAAATACAGTAAAAATAGCTGACTCCTAGTCTTTGCCCAGATTGTATTTTACTGATCTGTCCTTGTATATTTTGTTATCCCTGTAATACGTTGATGCAGACCTCCTGGCTTTGTACAGCTGTTTGCTATGCAACGTGACCTTTTTGGCTTATTACTTATTCTAGTGGTCTGCATATCATTCGTCTGTGTTAAAACATAATGGTTGATTGCCCTTGCAAAGCTACTTTAAAATATGTGGTTCAGATCAGTGTGTGTGCATTCAGCTTCCTTGTATTTCCCTGTATTCTCTGTGGAAAACGCTGGTGGTTTTGTTTGTCTGCAGGTATCCTAAAGCCCTGGATGCTGTGTTGGAGAAGCATCTGGAAGATGGCACAGATGAAGCTGACCAAAATCTTTTTCACCAATTTATTTCTCTGTCATTAAGCTGTGGCAAATACAAGGTAGGTAGAAGCTCAGTTCGTGAATCTAGCTCTTACTTGGTTATACTGTCTGAAGGTTGATGATATTTTGGCAGAGTTCTGCTCTTTCTTCCTCTTTCTAAACAAAAGCTCTACCATTCCCACAAGGAAAACCACAAACAACCAAAAAAAAACCCCCAAAACAAAACAAAAACTTACTTAAATGGGATTGAGGATGGGAGAGCTTGTTAGAAACTGGTAAAATCACAAGCCATCAGATCTTTTAAGTTGATGTTTATCATGCGCAGTCATGAGCGTGAGGGCTTTTTTGTGGCCAAAATTTGTACATTTCCACCTTCCATATAGCTATCAGTAATTTTTTTCCTTAGGAACATGGCCACTACATACACCATAACAGTTGATAGTGACAACGTGATGGTGCCCAGCAAGGCCTTATCTTACAGATTTTGTCAGTGTCAGAGGTGTCTGTTTTGGGAATGTCAACAAATGGCTTTGTCACTGTTGAGAGAAGGTGGCTTGATCCCTTTTGTTGCATTGATTTCATGAATGTTTACAGTCAGTAACATGGAAGATTAGAGTGACTACAGAGTTATTCCTCTGCCATTTCTGAAGAGAATTGAATCTCAGCCTAACACAGAATAACCATGAGTGCAACAGGTGTGTCCAAGGAGTTATTAAGAGATGATTAGTATTGTGGCTGCTGTTTGCTATGATTGAAAGACTGAAAACACTTCAGAAGAGATGACAAACTACATAAAGAAGTGCCTAATTTTTTTTTGTACTGATTAACAATACACAGATTCTGTGACTGAATAACAAGTGGATTGGCAGACAAACAAAACATGCAGAGCAAAGGCATATGACTTTCTTCAGCCCTTTAAGGTTTCTGAGATAAGTGTGTGCAATGGGATTGGCAGGGATGCCTTTTTAACAGTTTCTATCTGTGCTCTGTCACACTGACATTGTCACTAGAGCTTTCTCAGAATCCTCAGATAAGTGTAGTGCTTTTCTAGGACAAAAAGAGTCTGTGGCTTACTGTACTTTTCGAGCTATTTTACAAAAGGTGTCTACCAAAGTGAAGAAGAACAAATCTGAAACAGTTATACAACATCATCATTCTGTAATTGATGCTTTTTGGGTCTGAATTATGCAGGTTTTCTTCTGGTACAAAAAATTGCTGAAAGAATTTCTCCTGTTACATATACTTAAAGTATTTTTAACATGCCATGAGTCACTCTGAACTATGTATTTCAGTTTCTGGAAGACTTGGATACCTCTCTTCTGCTCAGTTTGAATCATCCTCAGCCAGCTGTGCGGGTCCTGGCTCTTCAGCATTTGAAAGATGTTATTGAAACATCAAAGGTTTGTGTCCTGAATCTCTCACATAGTTCTCTAACTTAACATATGTCTTCAAAAAGCTGTTGCCAGACATATCAATAGAAGACGAGTAGTACGTTAAGCCATTTGTATGACATCTTCACCGTTTCTCATGGTGTTTTCAGGAGGCTTCTGTTGCCATTTTCCTGGATTCTGGAGTCTGGATGTGGTTCTTGTTTTTAAGCTGCTTGCAGCCTAAGATAAATTCAAAGTTCATGGATACTTTCGTTTTTCTTTCACTTGTTGTTGAATGATAGTCTGCCTGTGAGGTTTAATTTAGATGAGATAACTGCTGTTCTTGTGCTAGGATTCAGATATTTCCTTAAAAGCCTGTAAATTGTGCTCCCAACAAATTATTATTTTTCCTTTGTGTCTTTGTTCCCTTTTTATTGTTTGTTTATTTGTTTGTTTTCAGGAAGGCTTTGATCAGTCTTTCATAGAAGAAGCAATTTTTGGTCGTCTCAGGGATGACAACAGAGATGTTGTGATGTCTGCTCTCAGTTCTTTGGAGGTAAGTGTGTATCTTTTGATATGTCAGGTGGGATTTTAGCTGGTCTTGAATAAGTGTGTCTGGAATGCATTTTTTTGTAATTGCCCTTCTTCCAGTCCTGTCCTTAGTGTACAGCTTTTGTCCTTAACAGGATAAAACTGCACAAATTTAGGAGGCTTGTGTTGTTTACTGCCTCACAGGTCCCCCCCAGATTTCGGCTTACTCATCTTTCCCAAAGTGTTTGCTGTTAACCTGAACTTACTGATAGTTTTCCATGTAGCTATCAAAGCACATTGTTCCTTTTGATTATTATTTGAAGCATGGTTCCTCCTTATCCTGTACATTTTTCTGTAAGAATGCAAGCCACGTCACCTGCCTCTTGGATGGAAGATGGCGCAGTGGCGAGTTGTTACGCCAGTGAGAAGTGCTCGGTTGAGTTTTTCCATATGAGAGTCATTTGGTCAGTTGATAGTGACAAAGCCCTAAACTCCAGCTCAGGTTTACTGGATAGGACTCTGGTATGCATTGTGCTGATTGTTTCCAGCTAGAGTAACAGTCTTTGTTGCTTCTGCTTATAGTAGTGGAGACGAGAATATTATTAGCAGTGGTATAATTGGTCTTGTGTGTTCATTCATTCTTAATCACTAAAAAATGGGAATAGAAGCATGTGAGTGCTTCTTTAAACTTCAGTGTCTTTTGTTAATGTGCCTTATATTTTTGTCATACAGATGCTATGTAAAGTAAAAGCAGTTCTTAATTATAAAGTGTTGTGCTTATTGTTTATCAGTTTTACCAAACTTCTGCGTTCAAGAAATTCTTCATACTTTACCATATCAAGAGGGCATACTGGGCAGCCTTGTAACTTCTGTTTACCCTGACAGTATTTTTTATTACATGACTATCAATAGGAATCCAATTGCTGATGTTTGATCCCTGTTTCCATTTGGTATAGCAGATGCATTTTCCATTATGATTTGGTAAACTATTTTGTGTCTTACTATACTTTCATTTCTTTTTTCTTGATTACTTTTCAGATTTTCAAGGAACAAGTCAATCCAGAGGTAGTAATATCAAGTCTTTTGAACATCTTCCAGAGAGCTGATCTTTCAAAAGATGGAAAGTGGTATGTTTGTGCCTTTTGCAGTCTACATTCCCTCCGTATAAATAATATTTTTAAAAGTAACTCAAAAGAATATTTTAAAAATTGGTTTTTCACTTCAAGTACTTCTTGCTATGCTGTATCTGCTGAGATTCAAGAGAAATGTTAAATTACTTGCATATCATTTCCTGTGAATTTCTTATTTGTTCTCACTCCTACTTGGATTCAGATAATTGCCATGGAAAATGGAGAATAAATGAAAGAAGTGTTGCTGGTGTGATTGAGCAATGAGTTTTCAGCATGACTTGTTTTCTTTTAGGTACAAGGTTCTGGAGCGAGCAATAAAAATTCTAGTCAAAGAGGAGATTTTGAAAGAGAAAAAAGAACTACTAGATGAAGCAGTAATGAGGTTGTTACCTCTTATGGTAATCACTAATGCGAATTCAAAATCTTCAGACTGGAAAATGGCCATTTGTCTGTCAGAATCTGATCTCTGCTCTTTACATCCCTTACTGAAAGGCTGGCCAGAAGGTAAGGTATTAATTGTAAACAATTTGGTAAAAGAAAAATTGTGACAATTTAGGACATCATCCTTATTGAATGTAAACACTTACTCTGAAGGAGACTGGCTGTCACTAACAAGCTACCATGCTGTGAGTGGAGTTTTTTAAAAAATTCTTTGAGAGCTGAAGAAATTGTCCAGTATGTTACCAACTGTTTCTAAGTATTATTGAGCCACCAGTGTTTTAATACATGATTTGTATACTTAGATTGTCTCATTGTTTCTTTTTTCCTTGGAACAGCTCTGGAAGAGGCAATTAAATCTAGCAAGCCTGTAGAGCTGATTGGAGTGGCCAACAGGAAAATGATTCTACTGTTTGCTAAAAACATGACTTCAGGGGACCCTTCCCTACTATTGCAAATGGTATGTGTACCATGTTACCTTAAGCTTAAAAGATTTTACTTTCCAGGTAGTTACTGTAGTAGAACAAATGTGATATAGAAGAGTTTAATGTATGCTCTTTTTAGCATTGGTATGCTATTATCAAGCTGCTATGCAAATAGAGAGGAGAGAGAGAACAATAACAAAACCCAATACAACCTGGATAAAACACATTTCTGGCCTAACATAAGGAAAAGAAGTAGTGCAGCTATTACCTATATGGCCAAATTATACTGTAACTAAATTCCAGGAATTTTTGGTTTCATGAAAAAAAATTCTAGAGAGTAAACAAGTATACCTGTGAGTAGTTTGTGGAAACAGATGGTTGTGCATTCCCAGGTTCCAAAGAGTGCCACTACAGCAGACAGTAACTTGCTACTTAGGATAGAGGGTAACAAGGTTTTAACTGGACACACAAATGAAAAATGGTGCAAAGTCGCAGTGAAGTCCCACTGTCTTACTAACTTGTTGTTGGTTTTCCTCCATTCCCTTTTCTAAGGTTGATGATCTGATACTTGTTGCTGAAACGGAATCTGACAGTGTGAGACAGAAAGTAACTACTCACATAATTGGTTCAGTGCTTGTTCAGTGCTGCTGCAGTACACAGATGAAGGAGAGTTATTTTCCAGTGGCTATCAGAGTATTCCGTTTCTTGGATAAAAAAATAAAAAACCTCAGAGCTTGTGATCCTGCAGAGGTAAGGTGTGAACAGTCTGGAGAATGCATTTTCTTTGTAGTGGAGAAACCTGTTTTTATTGGAGAACAAAAAGTTCAGAATCCTTGAAAGACTGAAAAGCTCACTTGCATTCCTTTCCAGAGCAAAAACCACACACTTGGCAGCAGTACTAGAAGGTGCCATTAACAGTTGCTCTTATATTTTACCACTCTAATGACTGCATTAAAAATGTAAGAATTCTAGAGTTTTAGGCTAGCACCTCACCAATTCAGTGTTTCAGTGCTGTGGGCTTCACACAAACTTTGGTGTGTTTCTGCTACCTAACATAATGTTGTGGCATCATGTGGTGCTACTGTTTGGCTTAATGACTGTAAACCAAGATATTCCTGAGTAAAGGTTTTGGTGGCTTGCTCAATAGGGGAAAGAAGGAAATGCAGCTGAATATGGAAAAAAAGCGCTTATGCTAAGAACAGTTCCAGAGGAGGGCCATGAAAATTGTCAGACCAATTTTCTGGAACACATCTCCTGTGAAAAAACGCTGAGTAGGGGTTTTTGAGCCTGGAGAAGAGAAGGTTCTAGAGAGACCTTACTGTGGCCTTCCAGTACTTAAAGGGGGCTTATAAGAAAGATGGAGAGAGACTTTTTACCAGAGCCTATAGTGGTTGAACAGGGGCCAGTGGTTTTAAACTAAAGTAAGAAAAGTAAGTAAACTTAAAGTAGATTTAGACTAGATGTAAGAAAGAAATTTTTCATTCTGGGGTTGATGAGGAACAGGTTGTGCAGAGAGGTTGTGGGTGCCCTCCCTTTTCATGGTCAGATTCAGCTTTGAGCAACCTGATCTAGTGAAAGATGTCCCTGTGCCATGACAGAAGGGTTGGACTAGATGAGCTTCAAGTTGGCTTGAAGATCCCTTCCAATGCAAACCATTCGGTGACTGAATGAACTGTGACCTCAGCCAAGTCCTTGTAACAGCATTGAAGGTGTTGTTACTGAATTTGCTGGGGTTTGGTTTATTTTGCAGCTCCATAAGCAGTTGTATTGACTGGTAGAAGGGGGAGCCATCGGAGGGCCAGGAACAATTTTCAGAGGGAGTACTTCTGCACCTTTCTGCTAGCTTTTTTTGCTTTATTTTTATGCATATTTCCCACTGGGATTCTCTTGATTTATTTTGTTGTTGAAACAGTTTATCCTTTTGTGTGTATGTGAGACACAAGTGAGCAAGGCTCTGTTTCTGTGTGCAGCCCTTTGCACGCACGTGCACAATACATAATAATTAGTTATTCGGCCTTATGTTATTCCATTAAAGAGTTTTTATATGTACAATATATGCAGTATATATCTGAAAGATACGGATTACGTTGCTAGAACAGAGCTAGTTGGAAAGCTTAAACTGAATGTCCACAAAATGCTATGAGTAACTTCTAAGCCCTTTGAAGAAATTTTAGAAAGACTGGCATTTTACTCTTGTTACCTCACTTATGTGCAGGATTAATTATGGTAGTAAGAGCTGACATAGGTTTTAAAACTGTAGATGCAAGTTTAAATGTAAAGTCAGAAATGTAATTCACTTTGTAAGGATACCTATTTTCAGGTTGAAAATTAAATATTTGTGAATTTTAATGCTAAATTTCTGTCTTCTGTTGCATGACATTGTGACAGCATACATTAAAATGACTTTTCATTCACAGGAAACTCCCCTAAACTGGTCTGTTGAAACAACAGAGGAAACTTTGGTGCCTAAGGACTTGTTAGCTGCATATATAGACAAGCTGGATAGTGATCAGACTGCTTATGCAGAAGAGACAGCCATGTTCCTATTCATATTGAAAAACTTCATTAATGGCCTGAAACCTCCTCTGTCCTTTTCAAAAGGTAGGTATTAAGGTTTTGGCTGTCCTAAATCAATTAAGTGATGAAGAAAGAGTTTTTTTTTCTGTCTTCAGAAGTGACTGGAAACAAGCAAGCCTTGCTTCCTTAACCTTCTTTTTTGTTACTGAGATCTGTAAAAATTACTTACTTGTTGAACATGAAATCAACCAAATGTATACTCTTCTTTTAGAGATGTATGTGTTCCCTTGGTTTCTGAAGGTGTTCATATCCAGCCACTGTGTTTTACCTATAACCTGTGTGTTTTAGAGGAAACTTGGTGGAATCCTGAATCTCTGGATCAAGACAGCCAAGATTACCTGCACCTCCTTTTGGGGCTATTTGACCTACTTGTCTGTGGAGCTAGTGAGGGAAGCAATGCTACTGAGTACAGAGCATTGATGAATCTCTTACTCAAGGTATTATTTTTGCATTTGTTGCTCTGAATTACTAGTCATCCACATTTGTGCAGTTATGTAACTTTAAGGAAAACTGAGAAAAACGGAGGACTGATTATGCAGCACTGCTGGTGCATGCTAGTACTGAGGGCAGATGAAAGTCTAAGCTTCATCTGATTTGGTAACCCTAATTAAATGTAATAATGGAAAATAAAAGTAAAAAAAAAAAAAAAACAAAAAAACAATAAATGGACCACTTGAGGCAAAGGTGAAAACACAGCGCTGATTTGCAGGACAAGGTCAGGAGCTTGAGGTCAAGTTTGAGCTAAAAGTTTTGGTCCCATCTGGGAGCAAATCATAACAGTTGCTCTGTAAAATTTGTTACTTCTTAAATATAAAAATTTGAAAAGACACTGCATGTTTCCTAGTCATCTCATGTTTTCTCACCTGCATAGAGAGATACATTTTTGTGAGGAGAATGAAGGATTTTGGCAGTCTGTATTTTAGATGGCAAGGAGTAATAACTACATTCTGAGGAAAAGAGAAGCCACTAATTGACACAAAACCACTGTTACAGAATTTGATGCTGTTTCATCAAGAGCAGCACATGCCAAACACGAAGGAGAGAATAGCAGTGATTTCATAAAACTTGGGTTTGATGTTAATTCCTGCATGTATCTTTGTCTAATTATCAGTCTCTCCAAGATCTAGTGAAACTGTACGGATACTGTTAAAAGAGGTAGATTCAGTGCCTGGCTAGTTACAGGCTGTCAGCAGGGAAGGAAAGATGGTATTTTAGTGGAGTTTTTGACTGACCAAGCTGAGTTATACTGCCTAGAAGAGAAGAGAGGAAGGTTGGAGAAGAGACTGCAGAAGGTTTGTGGAATGGGGATAGTAATGCCCTAAGACCTAGTGAAGGTAACAGCTGCAGTAATAATTTCCTTCTTTCACTTGTGGAGTACTGCTGGTTTCTGATTTTGAGGATGTTTAATTTGAAGGGGACAAGACAGTTATTTTTGCCTGCTCTAGAACAGTTAGTATAGCTAGAACCTTGGTCTTGATGGACTTGTAGAAGCGAGAATAAGCAAGAGTATGTCAGAAGTTGTATTGGTGGGTCTGCCAAGCTGCATTGAGTCTGTATGACTTTCAGTGGGCGCTCCTGTTCGGTGACCAAAGAGCTCATAGGATTCCAGAGAGCACCTTGCAGACAGGAAGCACGCTAGCTACTGACAGACCATAAAGTAAGCAAGGCTTTTAAATTCATTTGGAATACTATTAGGGCACAATGTAGCTGCTTCAAAATCAGAAACTATCCTTATTAAATTTTGACAGAAAGGTCCTAGAGCAAAGTTAAGGTAATTGGATGTAGACGTGTGCAAAACTGAATTGAATCTTCTTGGAGCAGCTATTACTATTGGAGGAGGGAGAAGGCACTTTGGCCTGTGTCTGCAGTGGCCAGTGACACATTTATGATTCAGTTTGTTGGTTTGGGTTCATTATCATAAAACCTGTACAGCCAGTCCAGGACAAATTCTAGGAGTAAAGTTCAGTGTCAATGTTCAGCACAGAAAACTACTGTACGAGGAAATTGGATGCCCAGCTCTTCTGAGATGTTAGTTTATAGAATTTTTAAAATGATGAAAAAGATCAGGTATTACTTAGAGCACTTTTAAGATTACTGCTGCACAAAACAGGAAATAGGAGTGCTTTATTTGGCATCTAAAAATTTTCTTGCACAGTTCACATGCTATACAAATGTTCTTATGGATGTGGTTTTGCTTTGTTAGTATTTCTTTTTTAAAATCCTCTGTATTTACATACCTCTAGACTACAAGTTAGCTGTTAAACCAAATAAGCCAGCTGTTAAGTGATATGTGGACTTGTATACACATGCAAGTACTGTTTACCCAAAAGCATCTACTCAGTAACTTTTTGTTTCTGGCGCTTTTGTTCTCTTCCTGTGTACTTTTTTGCTTTGGGTGGTTTATCAGACATGGTGAGTACTCGTTAGCCAAATAAATTAAAGCTATTAAACAATTACTTTTCTTTTATTTTCTTTTGTTAAATTTAAGGTACATCTAAAAGATTCAGAGGTTCTCTTCAAATTCCTTTCTATTTTGTGGACATACAGTTACAACCTTTCAAATCACCTGAACTATGAAGTCAATGCAATGCTACAGACTCAAGCTCTATATATTGGCTATGCACTGCTTGAATCACAGACATACCAAAAAAAGAAACAGCTGCTATCACCATCATCTCCAGGTAAAGTAAAACAGTATCTCTCTCTCTCTCATCTTGAGACTTAGTCACAGTATATTTTAATTTTGTGCAATTTTACCACATTTTATACCATGGAGGAGGGTATCTGTAGTTAGTTATGTCAGCTTGTACTAGGCTAAGCTAGGTTTCTTTCACTGCTGCTATTAGCCCAAGCTTGGAAGTAGGTGAAACCACGTTTTTTTAAATCTTAAGTGTTAAAGAAACTTGCTTCTATGCTGAAGAAGTCAGTTACATCACTTTATTTTCTGTGCAGTGTAACGATGTGGGAGTCAGTAGCACAGGTTAAATATAAATATAAGGACTGTGATGAAGAAATTTGGAGCTGTGGATCTGTGAGATTCATGTTGGGTTTGTGTAGTGTAGAGGTTTATACTGGGAAGACATGACTTTTTAATTCCAAAGAAATGTTGGTGCCTCTTCAGGGACAATTAAAATTCTGACCACTCACTTTTTTCTGTTGTCTTTTCCTCCTTCCTTCCCTCACTCTTTGCAGTGGTGATATCTTTGCTAGTTAACTTGGGTAGTCCTGTGAGTGAAGTTCGAAGGGCTGCTCTCAACTGTCTGCATTCCCTGAGAGGAATAAAGGAGTCTTTATTTCATCCTGTTCTTCAACATTTGGAGCAAAAGACAGAAGAGATCATAGCTGACCCTACATACATAACACAGGTATTTTTGTTGTTAAAGTATACATTAATACAAGTTTTGACTACTGCGGTGAGTGCCTATCTTTTCTAAAGGACTTAAAGTTATTTGGGAAAGTTCATTGTCTTTCTATAACATAACAGATTAATTTATTTAATGTTCTTCCAAAGGACTATAAAAACATTCAAATGATTTATTGCATACAGAAAATTGAGAATATGTCAAGAGTTATTAACTTGTGGTTTATTTAGAGATGAAGAATTCTGTTTGTATCTAGATTGCATTATTATGAAAGCATTGAATAAATATAGATGTAAGTTTTAAGGCATTTT